TATCTCGAATTTTTCGATTTCAGTTTAACCCTCATCCGCCCACCTGGGGTCCAGCTGGACCCCAACGAGTTTCAAATTAATGTTATATGCACATAATATTAGATCGAATCATGCCCTTCATGATATGGCTTAGTGAAGAGTAGTAGAGTAAGCTGATAACATCAGCTGCTCATTGCCATTCGTTGTCGATGTGTTAAACGATGTGAAAGTACATGTGAACGCTTGTTGTCCAGCCGGGGTCCATGCGAACCCCAAAGCTGATAAAACAGGATTAAAAATCACTTTTAAGACATGGAACATTTTTAATAATATATTCGGATCCAGCCTCGAATGATGAATACTTTCAAAAAAAAAATCAAGCATTCAGCATAAAATCTGTTGTTTTTTAATTTAATTTGAAATTTGAAAAATTCAATTCATTTAAATTTTCAATGTAAAACTCGAAAAAAATATAAATGCTCAGATAGGATACAGATACACATCAATCGACTCAGTTTTTGATTCTGGTTCCGAATATGATATTTTTATTGCTCAAACGTTGTTATGATAGAGAAAATTGAGAATTACGGGCAGAATTCTGAGCATGGTTTAGGAAAAATCCAGAGGATCACGTGATACGGAAACATTGTCAAACCCTTGCATCTGTTCAATTTTTATTTGTCTATCGAATGACGTTTGTCCAAAGTCTGGAACGCTTACCTGAGTTGAGATATTTTACTTTTCAAAATAGTTAAATTTTCAAATTTCAAATTAAATTTCAAAATACAAATTTTATGCTGAAGATTTGGTTTTTTTTTGAAAATATTCATCATTCTAGGCTGAATCCGAATATGTTATTAAAAATGTTCCATGTCTTAACAGTGATTTTTAAACCTGTTTTATCAACTTGGGGTCCGGACGGATCCCAGGTGGGCAACAAGTGATAGTCCTATAGGTGGGCGGATGAGGGTTAAAAGCTATGAAAGTTTTTGTTTTACCATTCGATAGATAATGCAAAGGCGAGTCGAATGCACTATTTGAAAGTTATTTTACATTTTGCTTTGCTGAAAATCTATCTATCGCAAAAAGAGACGAAATCGGGTTTTTGGAAACCCTCCTCAAAATCTCCAAAACCTTTTGAAATTTTTTTGGCGATACCACAAGTAAGCCCTAACCTTTTACTATATATTCCATAAAAAATTCAAGGTTCGCTACTGGTTTATATAGGCAAAAGTTTAATGTTACTGGGTCCTCAAAACGCAAAAAAACGCAAACGTCGAGATTTGCGTTCTATGATGCCGATATTTTCAAACTTTTTTAACTCGATTTCCGCTAATCCCACGTATGGGTCATTCATTTAAAAAGGGTTCCAGCTTATGCGAACAAAGTCGATGTAAACGTGGTACGGACTCCATGGAAATACCCTAGTGTCTTTTTTCCACATTTAGTGTGAGTATTGCCTTTCGACGTCATCTTTAATTTTATTGTCTTTTTGGGTAAAAACTGGGTCCACATTTGGACCATCAATTTGCAGACGGATCCGTGACGATCTCTGGTTAACACTCATTACAGCGGAAAAAAATTATTATTATTAATATACATACAAATCGTAAATTCAAATCTATCAGTCTTAAAGGTTTAAATTATTCTCGTAGTTTAGTTGCTGCAGCTGATGAAATTAATTCAGAAGTTAGAAATAAGCTCAGATTTGAAATACAATCTGTTTATTGTGGATATAGTTATTGGAGATTCATAATAAACTATCAGTCTATTCAGCCTTCCTTCAGTTTCAGTCAATCTGATCCAACAATTGCATTTGAAAGTTGCGGTCCAGGTGCCAGGTTTGCTTATCTACCTTAACAACAACCTTCTCATAATTAAAACGCACATTAAATGCAAATTGTATAGTAGAACGAGCAAGCCAAAGTTCGTCACTCTCACTCTTCGAATGTTTATTCTTCACTGATTTTAACTGATGATGGAATATTTGTAACAATTCACTTCAGTAGGCATGTTAATTCATCATAAATCATATATACCTATGGTGAGCGTATTTCAATCATCTATGCGTTTCGTAATAACATTCAGTCGGTAGTTTCAAGCTTTTTGTTTTCTCATTGATTTTAATCAAGATTTTTGTTTGCCTTATCTTCTGACACTTTTCGTTAGTGAGTCCTTGAAATTCGTTCCATACGTATTCACCTAAGTTATCATCATCATCATCGCGACTGTATATCTATGCAGGAATTGTAACAAGACTTATACAAGTTTATTTTCTTCGAAAATCTCCTTGATGTTTAATCCACACCCCAAAAATTCTAGAATAAGGATTTAGTAAAAAACAGAACGTTCTAAATATTACTTAACTTAGTCTCCGTAACCACAAATCTCCTTAAAAATAAAAAATTTTTTTATCAGACATAATAACAGCTATTGATTTTAATGAATTATTGTACACACCTATTTATAGAATTGAATTTTCATGGAAAGAATGGACTGATTTGCGTTCGCGTGTTATATATATCGGCGATTCTGCTCATGGAATTCCTCCTAATTTAGCATTAGGCGGTATGTTGGCTGTTCAAGACTCATTACAATTAGCGTCTGAATTAAGAATAGCGTACATGAAGCAAATCACACGAAATTCGACTCAGCTCTACAACGATATGTGCAAAAACGTAAATATCATATAAAACTGATTCAATTCGCTAGCTATGCAATTGCAGCAATAGGTCAAATATAAAAAAATACAACACTTATTCATCTCAGAAACTTTATTATTCAAGCTATTCCATTCAGTATTCGATCTTCTATATTTAATCAATTACATCGACTAACACTCGGATGGAATTATACCGTACCAAATTTAGGGCAGGGTCTGTATGCTCGAGTGTTAGGATATTCTGAATTTGAGAAATTACCTGAATTATTACAATTATTTCATTGTGAACAGGCTGAAGTTAGAACACAGCAATGTAAAGGTACAGTAACTATTAAACGAGGACACAGTTGGTTTTCATGTATATTAGCTGGCGCTGATGGTGCATCTCCTCCAGCAAAGGGTGCTGAGGTATCGGTCACCATTCAGCAGCATGCCGATAGTTCAGAAACACGGATTCGCCACTTCTATTATCTACATCCCAATCGCATCCATAAATTTGAAACAATACAATTTCTTGAAAACGATCATCTAATTGAAACAATAGGTCATTCTTTATCACCAATTAAAATGCAATTTTTCGTCTGATATATCTACAGCAGCTCCAGTGAATAAATTAACATGCTAGTTAATGAATGATACAAATTGTTATGTAGGAGGATATAGTGATGAAATTCAGACATTCTCTAAACCAGACATAATTCAAGCATTCAGTATCAGACAAAACAATCAGAGCTACTTAAAAAAAAGTAGTAGTGGAGAACAATTTCAGATACAAGTTCGATCTTATTGCACAAGTACATGTCAACCTGATTTACAGTCCGCAGCATTATATTCCGCTTTATCGGTCAAGCTCGGCTATACAGTCAAAATACTAATACTAGGCAGATATGGATTGTTTGGGGCTAGAATAACAATCCAACTATTAGCGAAATGTTACACCGTTTGGATAGCAGGTAGACATCGTTCAGAAGAAATTAAAGTAGAAATTTTAAAGCAAGCAAATAAACACTTTGTTGGACAGCAGTAATCGATAAGTAAAAGGCTATATTCAACATTATTTAATTCAATTTCAAAATTATTATGTGGCTGAAACATGTGTACAGAATACAATTCATTATATTGATTTAGCAGATTCGCGAGCATTTGTAACTATGTTTCCACATAAATTACATCAACGAGCACTTCAGTCGAGTATTACTCTAATTAGTGGTGCCTCGACAGTTCCATGACTCAGTTCAGCAGTTTGTTTGAAACTATCAAAACAGTATTTGACAAAAGTTGAAGTGATTAATATACGTATTCCACCAGGTAATCATACTCGTCCAGGATTAGGAACTATTCAGTCGATTCTCAGTTTTAGAAGCAATGTAGAGTTCAGAGATGAGCAGATGAGGGTAATTTTCTGTGGCGACTGCGTAAGTGAGGTATGAAGAATTTTCACCTAAGAGAAGTAACATTATGCCGCAAAGTGGTTAGACTCTCTAATGAAATCAACGATGGCCTTATAAATACTTTTACTTTTTCTAAGTACAATAGACAAGTCCTTGAACCAAAGAGCAGAAAGTGCAGAGAGAGAATAATTTATGTGCCCAAAATAAAATTAATAGTACTCATCAATTTCTTGCGAACTTTATGGTATTTCCCAAAGATCAGAAAAAATTGATTTTGTGCTTCCTTTTCTCCGCATGTGCATGATGGATCAGAAATAAGGGTGTACCTGAATAGGTCAGCATTCAATTGAGAAAATCCAATTCTTAAACGAGTGAAGTGAAGTTCATTAGATTTGAACTCACATCTAGGTATACAACGTCTATTTCACTATAGACTTCAGTTTTCGTAAGTTCCATCAATTTGAGTCTACATCTCCTGTAATTTGTTATCAAGCAAAGTGAAGGAGAAAGCTGATTCCACAACTTACAAGTTTGTTACTATGACGAAAGAGTTTTCATATATCATTACTCCACGGCGCTGAAGTGAAATTTTTTGAGCAGCTATACTTCCACTCCTTAGTGAATAGGTATGTAATGTAGTATCAGTTGGAATGAGAGACTGAAGTGAAGGCGATGCTTTGCCAAATTTTACGAAATAAGCAAAGTCGCTGAATACAGAAGATTTCTTCTATCGGAATCCATAAATCGGAATGATGGGTCTATTACATGAGTTAGTTTTCGCTATACTATAGATAGCCGAACCATTTTTCTGCACTGGACGCTTAAGAGTTTGAAGGTCACGGTCTATTCGTGATCCACGTCCAGAAATGTCCTACACAGGTGCGAGTAAAGCTTAAACTTCGAGGTTTTCCACTACCAAACAATAAAAAAATATTCGTTTTGAAAAACATATAACCAGCAGAGATGGGATCGGTTCGTGTTTTTCTGCAACCAAACCGAACCGGTCCCACCTCTGATACCCAATGCATGTAGAATATAGTCTAGAATGTTCTCTGTCCAGCTACGCATGCTTGGGCTCCCTGGCTACCACGATTTAACAATGGAAAACATTTTGCTGGGACTAACGTTTTTCGGTAACCTTAAAATGATCGAAGCGTAGGATAATTACATTTGATGATATAGATTGAAATTGCAGAACTGAGTGAAGTCGAAAGCTAACATATTGACGGATTATTAGGATAAACTATTGATCCACGCTTTACAGAAAATCAATGCTTCTAGTGGAAAATATGGATTTCTGGTTTCCATCATTAACATGTTCAGCAGTTCATGAGCAGTATATGAGTGATTTTGATAAAACTAGCACCGTTCGAGCGAGGTAAATGCTCCTCAGCGTTTTTCCTGTTAGACTTAATGAAACAACTTCGCAATTTCTCGCATATACTCACCAATGTTGACCTATCATCACTGCAAATTTCTATCTTTAACCATCAATGAGTTAGAAGCAAAACTTCGATACAGCGACATTACCGCGAACACAAAAAACGACATTACCGCGAATACAGAGAACGACATTATCGTGAAGACTTGTTTGTTGGAAAAGCCGAATAAATGAGGCCGGTTTTGTATTTTGTACATCATGTTTTCAAACTTAACTGACGTTATGTGGTGACTAGTCATTATC